GGCACCTTAGGTCAGCAGAGCTCCCAGGATTTTGCAAGCATGCTCTGAACATCTTTAGGGAGCTAGATGTACACTGATAGGGCATATGTCCATTTTACAGATGAGACAGCTGAAACCAACCAGAGGGGATATGGAAAAAAAAAGGAAATGCAATACAAGCCAACTTGGACCTATATGGAGGTCTTCACCCTTGATATTTGAAAGAAATCCTTTTGAGCATTTGTTGCCAAGTTTGTTGAACACCCATAAATAATCTAAGCTGCAAAGAAAAAACTGGGTTAATGTATTTGAAGCTAACGATCGAGCTGTGCAGGTTACTTTCTTTCAGTACGTGTACAATAACCTCTACAGTGGATGCACAGTTCGGCTTGTGACTTTCTGGGCCTCCTTTGTTTGGACTCCAGAGTCATCCCCTCTCAAGTACAGTATGTTGTTTTTTTGATCTTCCTTCTAAAAATTTTTTTTAAGTAAGAAAAACACTTCTGGATATTTTGTCTGCTTTTTAGGGATTAGTGTTTGAGGAGGTTTGCAGCTGTTCAGCACATTCCTAAGGGATGTAGACCTTTTTCTTTAAATGCCCAAGTATTACACAACCTAAGACTCTGGGGGCAGGGAAAGTAAAGAAACTGTACAAACAAATGATAGATGGAAAAGATATAAAGGCAAATTTCAATCTCCTAACCAAACGAAGTTCCCCTGGCTCCAGCAGCCCCAAATAAAATAAGGCCACAAAGCTGCTAAAGCAGGAAACCACTCTAGCAGAACCTTAATATGCTCCCCATGAAATCACGTCTCGTTGACTTGCTTATTTTCCAGCCTGAAGTGTGTTTTATCTTTGTTCGTGTTGGCTGAGAAAATTGTCTCTACAGTGCATTTGTGTTTCTCTCCTACAACATGTCTTTCACCTCTTCTGCCCCACCACCTTCCCAAAATAAATAAATGAATTAATTGAAACACCTCAGTTGAAAGGAGGAATATAGTCTGAAAAAGCATACAGACTCAAAGAACCAAATACGTTATATGAAAAACTACAGTATTAGTAAAAAAAAATTTTTTTTAAAGAGTGGAAACCCCTAGAAAAAACAGAGAACAGTGTCTGATACTATTTTTTAAAGCCACAAATTTTTTTACAGAAAAATTTTGCATAGAACCCCCATATATGCAGAGATTTACTAGTGTAAATTTACTTTTGAAGTGCAAATTTATAAAGAGTAGTTATTACAGAGCCAGTCAGTGAGCACATGAGACTGTGTTTATGAACCCAAAATATTGAAATTGGGATTATGAATCAGAGTTGCAGTTTTAAGTCAGTTTCAGTATCCAAGTTATTTCTGGTTTTGGTTTGGGTTGCCCAATATCAAGAAACTACTAATTCACACAGATGAGTTGTTTTGAGATAGTTTTAAATTGATTTAGATGCTTGAAAAAGGATATTTTTGTTTTAAAGCTGAATCAATATTACCTACCAGCTATTCTCATACCCATTCATAAATATTAATTGGATAAGCCCCAAAATGTATAAGAAACATTGCAGTTGATAATGAGATAGGATGATATTGAGCATGTATATTCTCAGGACCCAACCATAGTCTACCACGAACACAGCGTAAGCCCTGAGCCTTCTGTGGCATGTAGTTAAACTTAACCACTATGTGTCAAGTAATGTGCTCACCTGAACAGTTTTACTCAAGGAGGCACACAGGCTGGAATGAAAGCTAAATCTATACAGAGCAACATCCATTCTAGCCAGTAGTACATTTTTCAGAAGTTCAGATGCACTGATTGATTCTTTATTCCAAAGTTTGCATACAACAAAGTCCAACTGGCAGCCCATGAGACATTGTGATGATGTCTACTGGGTTCTGGGTCTCATGTACATTTAAGTGGGGAGTTGCTCATTTGGATGGATGTGTTATAGTTCTTTGAAATTGAAATGTGATTCTCTGTAATTCCAGAGTTTCTCAGAACACACTTTAAAATCTCCTGCTCATGCCCGGCTGATGTGGCTCAGTGGATTGAGTGTCTTCCCATGGACTGATAGGTCCTTGTTTGATTCCTGGTCAGGGCACACACTTGGGTGGGGGGGCTCCATCCACAGTAGGGGGCATTGCAGGAGGCAGCTGATTGATGTTTCTCTCTCACATCAATGTGTCTATTTCGTCCTTTCTCTAAAAAAAAATCAATTAAAACATATTTTTTAAAAATAATAATAAAATAAAATAAAATAAAAGTTCCTGCTCACTGAAACTGGTAGTGGTTGTCCCACTACATGCTGTAAGGATAAAAAGACATACATGTGGGAAAGTACTTGTAGCACCTTAGAAGTTCTTAATAAATAGAAATTTATTAGTATTAAGTGAAGTTATTTTATTTAAAAAGATTAGCACTTTCTGCCCATCCTTTATATTAACTCGTCTTTTTATTTCTTTTCATCCTTTCTTCTGAGGGTCCCCTTGGAACTAATGCTCTGCTTCATTTTCCATGGTGTGAGATAGGTTTTGCCTCTCCTGCCTCCACTTGTGATCTGTGGTGTACATGTGTGAGCTAGCTGACCCTTTGTTCTCACCTCTGAAGTTCTCTTGTATTATAGGTCTTTGTCTCCCACAGTGCACTGTGACTTAACACCCCTGATACTGTACTTTATTCTTTTAAGATACAAATGTTTATAAGTTTGTGAAATTTTTGTGTGTAAAGCACTATAGGAAAAAAAGCAGTAGAGACCACCAATTTATGTTTACTCATAAGAAGCAGGTTGAAACCAGTTGTAAAGTTAAGATCTTATACGATCTGTGCAAATGTAAGTGCCTCATGTATTCTGTGCTTCCTGAAGACATGGATATCTTACTGCCTGATACAAATATAAATTAGATTATTTAGGGTTTTGTAACTGAAACTAATCTGGAATCAATTTGAAAGTTTTCTTGTGATGGAAACATCAAGTGTAACTGAATGCATGTTGTCCAAATGTCTCACCATTTTGAATTTAAGATTATTTTCTATTCATCTTTTTTCCAGATGCTAAATATTTTGAATATTTGTATCTCTTGCTCGCTAGTACATATTTTTTATTTCCATAGTAACCTTTTAATTTCGGAAGGTAAGAGGACATGATGTTATGGCAGTGGTCAGCCCATGAGTGTTAGGGATTTTGACCACAGAAGTGTAATGTAGGTGTATGTGATGTAAGTAAGTGTGGGGTAGAGGGTGGGGATGGGAAGCAATATAGAACAGTTTTAATTTGGACTCTAATATTCATTGGTGTAAAACACCGTCTTGGTGCTGGTTAGTCAGATACTTGACTTAATGGTCCGGTGTGTTCTGAAGCCAGAGTTAGGTTTGGCGTGATTGTTTGTTAACAGTTACCTCATAATAGAATGGGAAAAGCCCTTCTAAGTTGAAGTCCATGCTCTACAAATCACAGGTGCCTGGCAGCCTCCAGGCCTGAATGGAGGCAGTGCTGACTCAAGTCAAGCCACTTTCTTTGCTCTGAGAGTTGGACTGGAGGGAGGGAACAGGGGTAAGGGGAATGAACAGGTTGTGATTCTTTGTAGTGATTAGGAGTTCTCTTTGTAATGACAAGGCTTTGTTTTGAGTTCCAGAATTGCCACTTTTTAGCTATATGACCTTGACCAAAATATTTAACCTTTCTCAGTCCAACTTTTCCTCTTTTGCTCAATGCGGTTAATAACACCCACTTCATCAGGTTGTTTTAGGGTTCAAGTTAAGCAGCATGAGTTATAGGGCCCAGCTATGTGCCAAATACATAGTAAACCCTTGATAAATAGTACCCCAAGCAACCCCTACTTTCTGTTTTTCTCCTTAAAGAGATCCAACTTACAGATGCAGAACTTTCTGTTGCTTACATTGGTGCTGTGAACTGAGTAGAGAATAACTCTTTTTTTTTTTTTTTAATCCTCACCCGAGGACATTTTTCCATTTTTTGTTCAGATAGAGTGGGAGGGAGAGAGAGGAAGAGAGAGAGAGAGAGAAACATCGACGTGAAGGGACACATCGAGTGGCTGCCACCCACACGACCAACCAGGGCCAGGGACAAACTTCAACCGAAGCACGTGCCCTTAGCGGAAACCGAACCCGGGTCTCTCCGGACCGCAGGCCGACGCTCTAACCGCTGAGCCAAACCGGCCAGGGCGAGAATAACTCTTTTGGATCATAATGTTTTCATTAGAAATCAGCACCTAGGTTTGGCACTTTACTGTTCCCCTCAGGCTATAGAGGTTTTAGGGATACATGGGTTCAGGAAGGTTGTACTCTAGGTTGCATGGGACATGAGATAATAGCTCAGTCAGTGAAACCAAAGCCTCCTTGGGTGCATTCTATGAGACTGAAGACTTTTTAGTGACTTTTTCATGGCGACTGCCTCCAATGTTGTATTCATGGAATTCTGCAATAAATAAATTTGTTTGTGCGTGTGTGTGTGTGTGTGGGGGGGGTTAGTTTGTAGTGCTTTAGTTATTTTTATCTCTAGGCAAAGTCTTGAACTTTTGTCTCTAACCCTAGATGCATACCCAAAGACTTGGTGGCTATGGGAATGGACTTGACGAGACAGCCTAGACCTTCTTTTAGTCAGACAATATAGAAGTGTGGTTCTGGTCCCTGACCTCATCTTACTATCTCCATGACTCCTTACTAGCTGTGGACAAGTTTTCTACTCAGTAAAATGGGGGAAATAGTAGTTTTTTTAAATTTGTTTTTGTTTTTTTAACAATGCAATGATGGAGCTTAGATGAGATAATACAAATAAAGCATTCTCCAAGTTCCTGGAACTTAATAGATGTTCAACAGATAACTATTAATTCTCCTTTTCCACCATTGAGTTTTTAGAAAAAGAGAAAACTAGAGGCGCAGAGTTCAGAAAAAATATCTTTATTTCTGGTTTGGCTTTGATCACTGTGATTTTGTGGCACGGATTGCAGTCATAGATGTTGGCCTTGGCTGCTTACTAACAATGGTTTTTTTTTTTTCTTGCTGTTTCTCTGCAGGAAGGATCAGAATGTTCTCTCTCCAGTCAATTGCTGGAATCTCCTCTTAAACCAGGTGAAGAGGGAGAGCAGGGACCACACCACGCTGAGTGACATCTACCTGAATAATATCATTCCTCGATTTGTTCAAGTCAGCGAGGACTCAGGAAGACTCTTCAAAAAGGTATATAGCTGTTTCTAGTCATAAAGATACTTGGGTGGAGCAATGACCCAGTTTTGTAAATAAGACAAAGAATATTTTATTGGCCCACTTAACAAGGCTTGCTTGGTCACTCCATACCATATACTCATGTAGACAAAATATTAAATTGACATTCTTTTCTTTCTTTCTGGGCTGAATTAATAGTAGGTCCAGGAAGGTAATCATTTTCAAGGTATCACCCCAGGATTAGCAGCATAATTCATAATCTGCATGTGTTAACAATAAATATATTTGATTGATTTCTGTGAGTTGTGGAGCTGTTAAGATTCAAAGATCTTCAGTGTCACTTCATGTATTTTTTCTTCTAGTTCTGTAGCAGATTCATATGTTTGTTTTTGGTTTAGTTCTCTTTTAAGTTTTTACCTTGTCCAAGGGGAACTCGTGAATTTGGTTATTGTTATCATGACATATCTTTGTCTTTGGGTTCCTGATGCTTTTTGAAGCTCAGTTATCTGTCATAATTTCTTGAATGTACTTTGAAAAATTTGACCAAGGAAAAACTAAAAATAAATTGTTATGATCTTAAGAAATTTATACCAAATTCACCTTACATGTCAGTAGTGGAACTACCCTCTTGGAAACCCAGCAACCTCTTTTCTAAGCTCCCTCAACCTGAACTCTCAGTGGAGTCATTTATTCATGAATTCTGGTGACAAATGGTGTCCAAAGCCCCAACCATTGTACATGATATACACCATGTCTAACATTGAAGTTCTGAGATCCGCAGAAGACATTTCAGAAAGCAAATAATCTTCCCACAAGTTACAGGTTTAAGGAGTGTATGTAGGGCTATTTTATTTGTTTCATATACAGGGAATTCATTGGCTTCCAGTTTACAAAATTCAGCATTAAAATTTGAGGCTGGAAGAGAAGCGTCTTTAGTAAACAGGACTGTGGTCAGCAGGAGCCATCGCTCTTGGTCAGTTTTCTGATTCTTAACATTAGGAAGTTTTCCAGATCTCAGTAGGTCTGGAATTAGAATCTGATTTTTTCTGTTTATAACAGCATGAAAAAATAAATGATGTAGAAACTTCCATCTACATAATTGCATCTGTGAAGGGGCTTTCCCTGTGTCTTAGAGACAGGATATTAAAGGTACAATCATCTGACAATGAAAAGAGGGAAGAGAAAGATAAATTCTTCCAGATCTCACTGGCTATTTTTAGTGAACTGGCTGTGCTGTGGTTGGGGCCATGCTTCATTTAGGGGCAGGGGTATTTTTCACTATCTCCTAATGGTTTTTAGCATCTGCTGTAGCTTGGGGTCATTAATTTGAATAATTCTGCAACACTTGGTGACGTGTGTATGTGGCTAAAATGAATAACTATAGTTAATACTATATTGGAAATAAGTTGAGAGTAGAGTTCAGGTGCTCTTTTCACACACACACAGAAAGGTAACTATGTGAGGAGATGTTAATTAGCTTGATTATAGAGATCATTTCTCTCTGTGTGTGTATTTTATGTCTATTTACACCTTAAATATTTACAATTTTTATTATAAAAATTTAAAACCTATTTAGATAGGACCTTGATAGTAATCAGCTCTTCTTTATGACCTCAACAACCACCTAAACTATCTTGAGAAGTAAAGGGGTTGACTGATAGTTGTCTCCTCTATTTTCTGTGTTCATCTGAGAAAAAAACTCCTGTGAGAGATGTTCACTTATCTAGGTGTCATCCAATCTCTCAACTCCCTTTTTCTCCCAGCTTTAGAAGTTTAGGGAAGAACCTGAGAGATCTCTCCAGATCTCAGAGATGTTTGTGTTGAATACAGCCAGTTAGCAAAGCCATGAGTTTTCCTGTTCCTCAGGTGCTCTTTACTAAAGGCCTAATTGCAGGGAACATATACAAGACATGGGGCATTTGCCCTCCAGAAGGATAATCTATAGTGAATGATATTCCTAGCCGTGGTCTCAGGGTTGACCTTCGCAAGCTGGGCATTTCTATGCTGGGGGTATAGAAAGTCTTAAAAAAGACTTTCTAATTACTTACAGGACTGCTTATATATTCATTTCATTGAAGAAAAGTACACATAACATAGGCTTATAGCTAAATGCATTTTTTTTTTTAATCCTCACCCGAGGACATTTTTCCATTTTTTGCACAGATAGAGTGGGAGGGAGAGAGAAGAAGAGAGAGAGAGAGGGAAACATCGATGTGAAAGGGACACATCGAGTGGCTGCCACCCGCACGACCAACCAGGGCCGGGGACAAACTGCAACCGAGGTACGCGCCCTTAGCGGGAACTGAACCCGGGTCTCTCCGGACCGCAGGCGGATGGTCTAACCGCTGAGCCAAGCCGGCCAGGGCAGCTAAACGCATTTTTAAAAACTGAACATACTTGGTATTTTAGCTCCCAGATCAAGAAAAACAATATTTCAGTACCCTAGAAGCACTACCTCCTCCCTTTCTTCTAGTCATTAGGGAGTTAGGAGAGGGTCCCAGACCCCAAGGATAACAATCGTCATAACTTTGAATAGCAGAGATTCATTTTGATTGGTTTTATGCTTTATATAAGTAGGATATACAGCGTGTACTCTTTTCTGTCTGGTTTCTCTCATTCATCTTCATGAGATATAGTCATATCATTGTATATAGTTACAGATCATAGGGTTTTCTCTTGATCTTTATAAATTGTTAAAATTAAATTACAGATTCATTTTGTTCTGTCTCTGCTTTCTAGTAATGGGCAAAGAAGCATTCTGTCTCCATATCTTGATTTTTAAATCTCTTTTGTTTAGAGTATGTTGCACATGAAGAATTAGAATCCCACTGGGTATAATCAGATAAGAGAGCTAAAGACTGTACCTAGCTACCCTGTCAGCTGTGTGAAGCTTCCAGAGCTTGGCTTGTGCTCTCAGAGCAGAGGCCTTTTCCAAGTGACCTTTTCTCTCGTGCTAAACTCTGCTAGTACTCTGACACCTTGGATGATTACTACTCTTTTCTGTGCCTCAATTCCCTAAAGTTTTTTTTTTTTTCTTTTTTTAAAAAGAGTTTGACTATGTGATCTCCATGCTGCTTTTGAAATTGCCCTGGCCAGTTTGGCTCAGCGGTTGGAGCGTCGGCCTGCGGTACAGAGAGACCCGGGTTCGGTTCCCGCTAAGGGCGCGTACCTCGGTTGCAGTTTGTCCCCGGCCCTGGTTGGTGGTGCGGGTGGCGGCCACTCGATGTGTCCCTTCACGTCGATGTTTCTCTCTCTCTCTTCTCTCTCCCTCCCGCTCTATCTGAACAAAAAATGAAAAATGTCCTCGGGTGAGGATAAAAAAAAATAAAATAAAATAAATAAATAAAATAAAATTAAAAAAAAAAAAAAAAATGCCCGGGCCGGTTTGGCCCAGCGGTTAGAGCATCGGCCTGCGGTCCGGAGAGACCCGGGTTCGGTTCCCGCTAAGGGCACGTACTTCGGTTGCAGTTTGTCCCCGGCCCTGGTTGGTCGTGCGGTGGCAGCCACTCGATGTGTCCCTTCACGTCGATGTTTCTCTCTCTCTCTCCCTCCCACTCTATCTGAACAAAAAATGGAAAAATGTCCTCGGGTGAGGATAAAAAAAAAAAAAAAAAAGAAATTTAATATACTGTAATTCTGTGATGACAAGGTATTGTACACTGGGGCTTTCTTCCAGTTGTTGGTGACCTTTGTTAATTCGTCATAGGTAAGTTGCAGTCCCTGACATAAGGACAAACAAAAGTGGATGTGGGTTTGGAGGAGGGGACTAGCTTAAGCAATCAAAGACTGAATTTCCTGAGGAATGAAGCACTCAGATTCTGTTACCTGTAAAGGCCAACAACCGAGAGACGCCAAAGTGGAATACACGTCTATAAAATATACACCTTTTATTTTACCTGTAAATTTGGTTACAACAGTAAAAGAAAACTCTGCAGTTCTCTGGAGACACCAACTTCAGAAAGAATACCTTTATTTCTGGTTCAGCTATAGATACCCATGAAAATTCACGAATTTGAATCTATTCATCATTAGCAAAAAATGTGCATTGTCTCCTTTCCTCTTCCTCCTCCTCTTCTTTCTTTTTAATTTATAAAACCTGATTCACTGGCACAGGTTATGATAAACACCAACATTTCTGAATTCTTATGTGCCAGGTACAGTGTTAAACAGTATATACATGATCCCTTTTAATCCTTACAATACTTCTGTAAGGTAGGCACTATTATTGTCCCTGTTTGATGAAGGAGGAAACTGAGTCTTAGAGAGAGGAAACAAAAAAGAGGTGAAGCTAGTATTTAAATCCAGTCATTTGGCTCTGGAACTCAAGGTTTCTATCTACGTGTTCTTGTAGGACTCTCTAGGTACGGTGTGCAGAGTAGAGGGTATTCGGGACTTTCTTACTCTTTTCTTTTGAATCCAGCTATTTCACTTAGTTACAGAATTAATGTAGCCTTTTCTCTTGAACACAGACCTTCAAAAGGTGTGGAGGTGTTAAGCATCAACATGGGGTTGTTTCTACCTGGCGGCTGGGCAAGCAGCTGGAAATTGAGAGGGAAGTAGGGCAGTATGTGCTTTTCTCCCTGGGGACAGACTCTCTAGTAAGAGGGAAACAAAGATTCATTAAATGGGAGAACTGGCCAAAAATCTGGCTCACAGCTAACTCAGCTAATTTGGGGATGTCAGGGAGGCTGCACAATTGGCTCCTCTATGCTACTGAACCCCCTTAAGGGATGCTCCCTGCTAGCCTTCTGGCTTGTGGTTGTTTGCAGGGACATATTTTACATTTGCATAAAACCGTAGTGGATTCCTTTAGCTAAATATAACATCTGGAGAAAGTAGACTCCTGTCCACAGCTTAGAAACAGACCCACTTTGTCTAGGAGTCCAGGGCAAATTGAGCCGATTTGGTGCTCCTGACATCTCTTCTCATGTAATGAAAGCTCAGTCTGTCTAACCCCTGTTGGAACCAAGATTTGGGCAAATATTATTGCTGCCACCTTCATTTTTTAAAGCAGT